GGCCCTGGGCTAACATCCGTGCCCATCTTCCTCCACTTTATATGGGACACCACCACAGCATGGCTTGACAAGCAGTGTGTCAGTGCATGCCCGGGATCCAAACCCAGGCCATCAGCAGCAGAGCGCACGCACTTAACCACTACACCATGGGGCGGGCCCCAAAGTGCACAAATCTTATGTGTACAGCTCATTGACTTATTATGTAGGTTGTCATCTGAGTAACCACAACCCAGATCAAGATATGGAAACTTTCCCATCCTCAGAAGGCTTTCTTATGCCTTTCCCAGTCATTTCCCAACATTCTCCCACAGTTTAATTTTAAAATGAAATTTCATTATGATTTTTTTTTTTTTTTTGCTGAGGAAGATTCGCCCTGAGCTAACATCTGTTGCCAATATTCCCCTTTTTCTCCTTTTTTTTCATGTGGGCCACCGCCACAGCATGGCCACTAACAGTCAAGTGGTGTAGGTCTGCGCCCAGGAACTGAACCCGGGCTGCTGAAGCAAAGCACACCAAACTTAACCACTAAGCCACTGGGCTGGCCCTCATAAATTTTTTATGTAAAAGTTTAAATCTTCCACTTCTTTTAAAATATTTCTTTTCCACTTTTCAGCTTTTCCCAAATGAAATGCCTCTTTTGAATTATGAATGTATAAAATGTTTAATCGTTCTCTGATTTCTAATTTTATTTCTATTTTTAAAATATACAGAAAAACAGGATAAAGGGTCTGGCTTCTTCTACAAATAATTGTCATGAAAAGATGCAAGAGGAATTGTTACAGATTGAATGAATTAAGAGTCATATTGACCAAATGCAATGTGTGGCCTTAGAATCAGGATTCTACTTCTTAGAATCCTGATTCTAAGAAACCAACTGTAAAAAAACATTTCTGAGACAATTAGGAAAATTTGAACATAGACCACATAGCAAATGATGTTATGGATTGTGGTTAATTTTCTTAGGTGTGTCCATGTATTGTGGTGATATCGTTTTACAATTTTTTGATGTTAGGTATACAAGCAGCAATATTTACAGACAGATATAATGTCTGGCATTTGCTTTAAAATTCTCTAGTGTTCTAATTTTCATTTGTCTCTAAGTATTTTCTAATTTCCCTTGTGATTTCTTCTTTGATCCATCGATAGTTTAAGATGGAGCCAGATGAAGCAAGGCTCGCAGACTGTTGAAAATTGTTGAAGCTGAGAGATCTGTACATGGGAGTTCTATCTACTATTCTCCCTACTTTTGTGTACGTTTTAAAATTTCCATAATAGAAAGTTAAAAAATAAAATATTTTAACTCACTTTGGCCATTAAGTGGCTAAGATTAAACAAACAAATAAAAAGACTAGACATGACATCAAGACCCTGGCACATAATAGGCACTGTCAAAAATACCAAATGAATCAATGATAAAACTCAGAGAACATAAGTATTGAATCATCTTGCAAGTTACATCTACCACTGAAATTAATAAATGAGCCATTTACACATTAGTCTTTCGTGAACTTTGTTAAGATGAGTCAGTTCTTTGGAGCCCAGTCATATCTGTATTTTTAAAATCCCATTTCTGAGTTCACAAAGCCAAGAATTAGATCTTTTGAAATATGACCACATAAAGGTAAAGCCACCCTGTCAGAGCCATCTGTTATCCCTCCGTAGATGACATGTTACTATCTTTCTATAAACTACCACAAAACCTACCTCTTAGCGTCGCTGTACTAAATGAGGTAAGGTAGATAAACTAGCACCTAGCGCAGCAGCTGGCAGGAAGTTACTCAGTAAACATTAGGCCCCTGTAGTAGCCACTTCTTGTGCCCTGCGTCTCCTCTGCCTACCTCTGATTTCAGCTGTGGCTGAGGTGGACGGTTCTTTGGGAGCTCAGACTCACCTTGTGCTAAATCATCCCAACCTGGGCCTTCTCCAGAGCATCGGTGCCCAGTGGGCAAGCGCAGTGGGAAAGGTGGGGGAACTAACACCCCAGAGTCAACCTGCAATCAATCAGAGCGTGAAAACTGGTGGATAGATGCTTCTGCTTCCTGTCATCCAGGTGGACAATTTCTGCAGACATTCTGTTTCTCTGCTCAAAAGGTCCCGGTGGAATCGAATCCCCACCGCACACAATGGTAACGCCACTGTCTCTTAAATTGACTTTTCCTCCTTCACGATCTCACACTCCCTACGGCCTCACTTCTGCTTTCTGGAATTACCTAAATTAACCACCTATACCTATATCACAGTCTCTGCTTTCGGGGACACTCAAATTAAGACAATCCCTTTCCCGTCCTCTTATATAATCCGTTGCTCTTCTTTCCTGGGCTCCCTGCCACCAACTCCCCAGCCAAACCCGGACTGTAACATTAACATGCAGAATTACGATCCATCAATTTACTGGTATCTGCGCACTTCTGGGCACAAGCTGCTCAAGTGGGGGGACCCTGTGACACGTTTGGCATCCCCCAGTGTCCAGTGAGAGAGAGATATGTAAGCCGGTCAGCACTGCCCCAAGCTGTGGGAGTCATTGAGGCTGTTCACCAATCTTGCCGTTCTCTGCCTTCCAGGCACACAGTTAAGATCGAATTTCTCAGTGCTCTTGAAGTTAGGCATAGCCACACGGCTTGTTTGCCAACACAATGTGAGCACAAGCCGCATATGTTGTTGCTTCCAGGCAGAAATGCTAATTACCAGTGCAATGTGAGACAATTTGCAGCACCCTCTTTCTATAGAGCTTCCTTTAACCTGGATTTCTGAGTGACTGTGACGCTCAGAGCCCCCTAACACCACTCCCCCTGACCCCACAAGCAGCATTAGTGAGAAATAAAACTGCTGTGTTGAGCTACTGAGATTGCAGGTTGTTTGTTACTGCAGCATTACTTAGCCATGCTGACTGATACATACTGAGATAGGTGTGCATATAAAGTTCACAGGGACAAAAAGAGGGGGTATCAGGTCTCTCCAGAGGTTCAGAAAATCTCCATAGAGGAACTGGAGATAAGACTTAAAAGACGAGTGTTCAACTAGCTAACAAGGAAGAGAGACAGCAATCCAGGCAAAGCAATCCGTGTGTGCAAAGGCCTGCGGAGGGGCCGGCCCAGTGGTTTAGCGGTTAAGTGCACGTGCTCCGCTATTGGCGGCCCACATTCGGATCTGGGCGCGCACCGACGCACCGCTTTTCCGGCCATGCTGTGGCTGCGTCCCACATACAGCAACTAGAAGGATGTGCAACTATGACATACAACTGTCTACTGGGGCTTTGGGGAACAAAAGGAGGAGGATTGGCAATAGATGTTAGCTCAGAGCCAGTCTTCCTCAGCAAAAAGAGGAGGATTAGCATGGATGTTAGCTCAGGGCTGATCTTCCTCACAAAAAAATAAATAAATAAATAAATAAATAAATAAAAATAAATAAATAAATAAAAGGCCTACCGAGTCTGGAACCCCAGAGCACATTAAGGGAACTACAAGTAGTTGGGGAAGTTTTAGGGTGGGCGAGGGAAGGGGAGCCCCCAGTAAGACGAAACCGTGGAAGAGAGCATGTCCTACTCAGGAGCCAGGATTGGTAGGTTGTAAGGCAATTAGGTATTGGCATTTTAGATACAGAAGTGATATGATTTCAAAAATATTATTCTGGATTAGTGTGGAAGAAATCGGAAGAGCTGGAAGACCGGTTAGGAGACATTTATAGTCCCGGCAAGAGACCTGGGGCTAAAAGCAGGCAGAGACGTGGGGAAGGAGAAGACAGGACAAGTGTAGAGGAACAGAGCGTGGAGGTCCCTTGGGCTTTCAGAACAGGTCGCCTCCATCTCGGCTCTTACCCCAGTGTGCTGTGGGTGCTGATTTATTAACTACAGTCTTCTTGAAGGTAGAAAATGTCTTTTTTTTTTTTTTTTTTACAAATTCACATTTTATTATTCAATGAAACATGAGAAAGGTTTTAGCTTCCTGGGAAACAAACTTGAACAAGAGAAGAAAATGTGTCCAATAAATAGATATGGGTTTTTAGCTGCTAAAGATATAGGTTTCTTTGTCAGGGTTTATATTTGACAGGACAATTGTCTGTATTAAAATGATTGTTCACTATTAAATGAATTTATTTCTCATTTCTTTTTTTAAAAAAATTTATTGTGGTAAAATACACAAAATATAAAATTTACCTTCTTAGCCCTTTTTTGTGTGTGTGTGAGGAAGATTAACCCTGAGCTAAAATCCGATGCCAATCCTCCTCTTTTTGCTGAGGAAGATTGGCCCTGGGCTAACATCTGTATCCATCTTCCTCTACTTTATATGGGACACCACCACAGCATGGCTTGACAAATGGTGCGTCGGTCAATGCCCAGGATATGGGCCTGCGAACCCCAGGCTGCCGAAGCAGAGCGCACACACTTAACCACTGCGCCATTGGGCAGGCCCAACCATCTTAGCCATTTTTAAGTGTACAGTTCAGGGCCGGCCCCATGGCTTAGCGGTTGAGTGCATGCGCTCTGCTGCTGGCGGCCCGGGTTCGGATCCCGGGCGCGCACCGACGCACCGCTTGTCCCGCCATGCTGAGGCTATGTCCCACATACAGCAACTAGAAGGATGTGTGGCTATGACATACAACTATCTACTGGGGCTTTGGGGGGAAAAATAAATAAATAAAATTAAAAAAAAAGTGTACAGTTCAGTGGTGTTAAATACATTCATAATGTTGTGCAACCATCACCACTATCCATCTCCATAACTCTTTTCATCTTGTAAAACTGAAACTCTATACCCATTAAATAATAACTCCTCATTCCCCGCTCCCCCCCAGCGCTGGCAACCACCATTCTACTTTCTGTCTCCATGATTTTGACTGCTCAAAGCATCTCATATAAATGGAATCATACAGTATTTGTCCTTTTGTGTCTGGCTTATTTCCCTTAGCATAATGTCCTCAAAGTTCATCCATGTCATAGCAAGTCATAATTTCCTTCCTTTTTAAGGCTGAATAATATTCCATTGTACGTGTATCCACATTACTTACCCATTCATCCATTGATGAGCATTTGGGTTGCTTCCACATTTTAGGTATTTCACTGTGAATAATGCTGCTATGAACATGGGTGTACAAATATCTCTTTGAGATCCTGCTTTCAATTATTTTGGATATATACCCAGAAGTGGAATTTCTGGATCATATGGTAATTCTATTTTTAATTTTTTTGAGGAACTGCCCTACTGTTTTCCATAGTGGCTATATCATTGTACATTCCCACCAACAGCACACAATGGTTTCAATTTCTCCACACCTTGAGGAAATGTATCTTATTCTCCTTTTACCACCAGCACTAGCTCAGGGTTGGCCATTGTAGGAACTCGTATATTTATTAAATGGATAACTAAAGGCTTGGTGGCTAAGTATATATGAGGGATGAAGGGGAAAAGAGGGGTCTATATTGAATCTCAAGCTTTTAGCTTGAGTGATGGAATGGATGATGTACTACTGCTTGTGACTATAAGAGGAGAAACAGGTTGAGGAGAAAGAGAACAGATTCTGTCCAGGACACATTGTGTTTTAAGTACCTTTAGAATGCTCAGGACGGGGCCGGCCCTGTGGCGTAGTGGTTAAGTGCGCGTGCTCAGCTGCTGGCGGCCCGGGTTCAGATCCCGGGCGCTCACCGACGCACCACTTGTCAGGCCATGCTGTGGCGGCGTCCCATATAAAGTGGAGGAAGATGGGCACAGATGTTAGCCCAGGGCCAGTCTTCCTCAGCAAAAAGAGGAGGATCGGCAATGATGTTAGCTCAGGGCTGATCTTCCTCACCAAAAAAAAAAAATGCTCAGGAGGAAATGGATATTCTACACTGGAAACAGAAGGCAGGTCTGGTGGGAGATAGAAATGTAGGAGTCTGTATTAGTCAGGATTCTCCAGAGAAACAGAACCAATAGGATATATAGAAAGAGATTTATCTTTTTTTTTTTAATTTTTTATTTATTTATTTTTCCCCCAAAGCCCCAGTAGATAGTTGTATGTCATAGTTGCACATCCTTCTAGTTGCTGTATGTGGCACGCGGCCTCAGCATGGCCAGAGAAGCGGTGCATCGCTGCGTCAGTGCGCGCCCGGGATCCGAACCCGGGCCGCCAGCGTTGGAGTGTGAGCACTTAGCCGCTAAGCCACGGGGCTGGCCTGAAAGAGATTTATCTTAAGGAATTGGTTCATGCAATTGTGGGAGCTGGAGAGTCCAAAACTCATAGGACAGACCATCAGGCTGGAAACTCAGGGAAGAGTTGATGTTGTAGTCTTGAGTTTGAATTTATAGATCAGGGCGGCAGGCTGGAAACTGAGGCAGGATTTCTATGTAACAGTCTTGAGGCAGAATTCCTTCTCTGGGAAACCTCAGTTTTTGCTCTTAAGGCCTTCAAGTGATTAGATGAGGTCCACCCACATTATCAAGGGTAATCTCTTTTACTTAAAGTCAAGTGAGTATAGATGTTAATCATATCTACAAACTACCTTCACAGAAACATCCAGACTAGTGTTTGACTAGACAACTGGGCACCATGGCCTACCCAAGTTGACACATAAAATTAACCATCACAGAGTCATCAAGGTGGTAACCAACCTCTTACAAGCACGTGGTATCATTCAGGGAGAATGAGATAAAGACCAAGAAGGCCAAGGTCAAAGGAAGAGAGTGAGGGGTTACAGAAGTGACTGAGGTTGTAAAAGGAAGGGAACCCAAAGAAAGAGATGTCACAGAAACCAGGGGGAAGCAGCAAATCAAACAATCATGGTCAAATGTGCCACAGGCTGCAGAAAGCTCAAGTGAGATGAGGACTGAAAATCAGGAAGGCTTTAGTGAACTTTTTACAAGAAGCAGCAGTCTCACTGCTGGTGGGAATGTAAATTTGTACAATTGCCTCAGAAAATACTTTAGCATCAGTCAGGGGAGTTGAATATGTGCAGACTCCATCACCCAGCAATTCCACTCTTAGGAACATACTGATGCTTCTTGCTACTCAAAGTGTGGTCCACAGACCAGCAGCATTGGCATCACCGGGAACTTGTAGAAATGCAGAATTTCAGACCGCATCCAGACCTATTGACTCAGAATCTGCATTTGAACAAATCTCCAAATGATTCATGTGCACAATGAAGTTTGAG